CGAGCACATCAAATTTGAGTCATGGAACCTTGAAAAATAAATTTGAGATGAGAGAAAAAGAAAATGCTGAAACCACAATCAAAAGATATATTAAGAAAAAAGGAAAATTACGAGAGCGTTTGACGTTTTCAAACTTTCACTAATCTCGACTGTTGTTTTCAGACCAGCGCTTGAGCTTGTAAAAATTTTTTTCGGGTAAAACGGATTTTTGAAGTTCAAAAATTGAAAATATTTAGCCATCTCTCCAGTTTTTCGTAATTGAATAAACAAATCTGTGGTTTTATTACTTGTAAGCAATCGCACTTCCGAACAAGCCACTTCAAGTGCGCCGAAAAAATCACTTGGAAGCGAAAATTGCCTTAAAGTCAAATACAGCCGCTTCTCAACTCAGTCTTGCCCTTAAATCCAGAATCGTTTCGAGACGCGCGATAGCCAATGGTAGCAGGGCGCCTCACCTTACAACGCTGCCATTGGTCGCCCGGCCAATCGGTGAACAGACCAAGAAATAAAAGTTGGTATCAACGCTTTCAATAGAATTTTCTGATTTTGAAGCTACCGTAAATTTTTGAAATCTACGACTTGATCTTTTTTGAAAATTAGGTGAAATTTTTTAAAGAAATTTAGCTAAGGGTTACACTCACCAAGTAACTCGATTCAAATGTAACATCAAATGTTTCAGAGTCTCATAATTACATCGTGGCATTCGTCGACACAGTCGTTTCAATTCCTCTAACTGAGCTTCATCTGATTCCCCAGTGCATTTCTGAAAATTCTTTCTGAGGGGCGAAGAAATCATATTGACTTGAGACTACTTACCTTTCCAAATCGAATCCAATCACCATATGCTTCGAATGTCATCAAAGGTTCGGGAAGTTTCCTTAGGTATAACTTGATGACGGATGCAAGATTCATCGGATGTACATGCTCGAGATCGACAGTTGATTCACCTTGGCATCGTTCAAACGCTTCACATATCTCTTCGATTTTTGATTTCACTCCGCATGTTCGATAGATGCCCTGAAAAAGTTAAGGTAAATACAATCGAAAAGACAAGATTTATCTTGGAAAACCCACGTACAGGCCACTAGATAATGTTTTTTTCGGATAAAAAATAGACCGTCTAAATTCTAGTCAAAAAATCTTGAAAGGTCCCTGTTCCGTCTCAAGGTTAGAAATACACTCTTATCAAACGTTTTTAGGCGCAAAAC